GCGTCAGTGGGGTCTCCATATTTGGAGCGGAATATATGGGCTAAGACCTTCGATGTAGCACGCTTCTTGTAATGTCTACGCGTCTCAGTTTCGCAAGTGTGGTCCAATTGACACTTCTTAATAGTGTAATAGCCGCAACTGGTGAGCTCTTTTGCGAAGATTCTCCAATCACAGCGAGGGTCATGGCAACTGAGGACAAATGAATGCCTGCTGGTTCTGGTTTGCCTGAAATAAAATTGTTCTTTGATGGCGTATATTGCGAGACCAATTTGGCAGTCTTCCTTTGAGGCATACAGTTTTCCAACACAAGGTTCGTCATCGTCTATATCCAAATCTTGGATGGTCTCAGCTTCATACAAAGTGTCGTCAAACAGGGGGGGATGTCGAATTCCTCATCACTAATCTCTGATAGGGGACGGGTCTCACGGGCAGGTGGGGTTGGTGGATGGGGCAGGTCTGGCTGAGTGTAGGATGGGCGAGCTGTACTGGTGGAGCCAGACGATCGACGGTCAGGCGTACATGTACGAGTCTGTACGGGTGGAGGAGGTACATCATTTGACGATGAACGGACTTCAGGTTTAGAGTATGGTGGTAGTTCGCCTGAGACAATGACTGTGTGATCAAAAGCATTACCAGTGGTGCAGGGGGCGATATGGGGTGCAGTCTTTGGTACTGAGACCCCCACCATGAGCTCGGCAGCATCAGACCCACCAAGGTGATCGTCAATGAGGGGAGCCCAGAAGTCTTCGTCATAACCACGGGGTTGAACATCGTCAAAACCGGGAGGAATCGAAGTGTCGGACTGACTTTCATCGTCGTCGTCCGTTATCCAGCTGTCTGGTATGTTGTCGGGGTTGTCTGTAAACATTTTNCTGAGACCCCCACCATGAGCTCGGCAGCATCAGACCCACCAAGGTGATCGTCAATGAGGGGAGCCCAGAAGTCTTCGTCATAACCACGGGGTTGAACATCGTCAAAACCGGGAGGAATCGAAGTGTCGGACTGACTTTCATCGTCGTCGTCCGTTATCCAGCTGTCTGGTATGTTGTCGGGGTTGTCTGTAAACATTTTTTGGAGGAGCTCATCTCCGCATAAGAGGGTTTCGTCTGCAGTGACAAAGCGATGGGCTTGTGATGGAGCTCCGCTCCCTGGCGCAGTTGTTGTTTGTTGGGTATTGTTGTTGTGAAAAAGAGAAATAGGTGGGATCTGAGACACGGATGGTGAACGGTGTAGAGGTTGACCGCTAATTTGTTAGACTGCCGACTAACATGGTGCAGAGGAGGATAACTCCCAGGGTGGACAGGCTGTACAGGTGCTTTTCCAGGGCGGTGTACAGGTGGACAACTCTGGGAGTGTACAGGTGGGCGGGGCTGGGGGTGTACATGTTGATGACCATTAGTATGTACTGATGTAGACCTTGGAGGCTGTACAGGCGGACAATTGGGAGAGAGGTCGAGTTCATCATCTTTGAAAAGGGAGAAACCTGGTATCTGAGAACCAGCGGTGGATGGACTGTGTGTCCTCTTGATAGGTTGATTTGGCGTGTAGAAAGGTAATGGATTCTCATCAACACGACTCATGTGAGGGGTGTTGAAGGTGACAAACAAGTTCATTCCTTTGTTTGTTTGAAAGTGCTTGTAAAAGTAGGAGACAACACCGTCGTTTGTGAGCATTACTGGCGGTGTGGTGAGACCTGTTGCAAGCTCCTTTGAATTTGGTGGCCAGTAGCTAAGAGCAGCGGTGCGGATGATGTCGGAACTGTCAAAGAACTCCCTAAAAACAGTGCTCAGTAATTCAGACAATGGTATGCCTTCACGCAGAGGCACAATCCTTGTCATGTGTTGTTTGTCTATGGAGAAGTTCCAGTGGTCGTCTGCTGAAGTTTTCCACTCGCCGGCAATTACCATAACATGGTCCGACATGTCCGCCGGCTGCTTAACAAAATTATAAAAAGAGTCAAAGATCATTACACATATCATTAAGAGGTAAGTAATAAAGATTAATAAATTAACAGACCTTTAAGTAAATGACTAGCAGGAATATCTGTTTGAAGATGATTCAAGTCGACGATGGAAGCTGTTTTTTACAGAAACCCGACGGTGTAAAATTTTGAACGGCGAGAATGATTTCGTTGAGGTAAAATACAATGAAAAATCCTAGCCGTCTATTGAGAAATGAATAGTGAAGGATCTAACGGTGGGGAGCTTTGGAAGATATGTGTCTTGTCCAGATCTGAGGAAGTGAATCTGGGCCGTCGGTAGTTTGTGAAGATGGATGGTTCAGAATAAAGCCCGCCTGTTTTTTATTTTTGTTAACGAGATTGAGGGATGGATTTGAACTAACAAAACTCATTTCTTCCCAAATCTAACGAGTGTTTAGGAAAAAGTGCACTTGTATAAAGAAGTGACTAGTTGTGCAATTACAAAGTACAAAAGTGACTCAGAACGTAAAATTCTCAATTTTAAAACATAATTTAAGGGTCAAAAAGTCATGAAACGTGTGGGAATCATTAACCAAATCAGAAAAATGGAAAGCGCGTCCAAACGTTTGACCCTTTCAAGTTTCTTGTCGCATTCTTTGAGATTCTGCTTATGGGTTCTATCTCTTTGATGTCTTTAACTTTTGAAATTTTCAATATGGTCCACATTAATCATCACTATAATATCAAAATGGCTAGTCTTCACGCATCGTTTAAGCCATCAAATATCAAATATCAAATCCAACAAACGAGTTTAGTACCTTCTTTTTTTTTTTACGAAGACGGCCATTTGCATGCATTTAAGGTCTAAATGGTAACTGTAGATTTAATAATATAAACGATACATAATAAAAGTACGGGACGGTTCAACTATGATTCATACGTTTTACGGAATAAATGACCTTTTACGTGATAAGTACGGTTTATATAAATTAACAGTGTGGAATTTTGTTTGATTGGTGAAAATATAGAATGCGGAATTTGACAATTATAAAAATATAAAATAAGTATATAAATATAACAAAAATACATATTCAATTTTTAAGTTGATGAAAAAATACATTGTCTATTTAGTAATATTGGTATAGAAATTTTATTTATTAATAGAAATTTTAAATACCAAAATTAATTTTGAAATAAAAATTTAACTATATATAAAATAGTAAATGAATTGAAATAAAATAAAAATATGATGATTATATTTGTAAATATTTTTGGGTAATTTTGAATACAATATAAAATATTTATTTTGGAAATTATGCTTTTAAATATTTAATTATTAAAAAATAAATAGAAGTAAAATTCATTTTATAGATGAATATACTATCTATTATATTTTAAATATTTTGTATCTATTTAGTCTTAGGTTTGGTAATGCTATTTTAGACGTAAAAGGATACATAAACTATGTCAAGTGTTGCCCAAAAAAAAAAAAAACTATGTTAAGTGTTTTCTTATGTAATTATATCATTTAATAAAGAAATTTGTATAGTTACAGTTTATATTAAAAGCTAATAGAATAATAGTAAACTACAACATATTAGAAAAGTATTCTTAAAAGAAATAAAAAAACGTAACGAAAAATACATTTCTGTTTAAAAATCGCACCATAATAGAAACTAATGTTATACCTTGTGTGTTATTATAAAAGTAGAACAAATAAAAATAAAATTATCTTTTATGAAAACGTTTTTACATGAATTACCGTCCCGCTTATTGGTTTTTGTTTGATTGGTGATTTTTCCATTTCTCTCTCCTACTGTTATAATTATGTCTTGCTTTTGATGTTTCCATTCATAATCTTAGTTGCGTGAAGATGAAAACATACATTTACCCTTTTTCAAAATATTTTTTTTTCTATCCATTTTTAAGGACAAAAAAAAACTGACATTGTTAAGGAAATGATATTGTAAAATAAGAAGAAAAAAAATCAATAGAGACTAATTTAAAATTGCTAGTTTTAAAATTTTCTTTGATCACAGTCACCAGACTAGTCTTTTTTTTGCTCCATATTATATTCCTTTTGTTTCTTTCTCAAAATTCATTTACATTTACATTGTCTAAAAAGTCATATTGTATATCTACATTACCAAAAACAAAAGACAATTTAAAGGTAAGTCAGTATTTGTTTACACAAATATAATTGAATGATTTGCAAACAATAGATGAAATCTCCCTGGTTAAAAAATTAAGATTCAATAATACGGGGCGTAAATCAAAGATATAACAATTATGAAGCCCGCCAATGCAATGTCAATAAAAATAAAGATAGCTCATTTTTTTGTTTCTTCATTCAATATATAACAGACATTAACGAAAGAGAGAGAGAGAGAGAGAAGACTTGGTCGTAGAGAGAAGACTTGTCGTCTCTACCTCCGATTGAAATCAAATTAGGGTTTTATTTCCTCCCCCTTTTCGATTTACTTCTGAATGATTATTATTATTATCCTCCTTTCTCCAGGTTTTGATTTTGCTTCGTGAATTTCGCAGATTTATTTTTCAAAAATCAAATGGGAAAATTTTGTTGCTTCACTTCCCCTTCTGAGGTAAATATTTATCATTAATTTTGATTCTCTCTGAGTGTCTGATATAAAGGTTTATTGTTTTTTTTTATATTTTTCTTCTTGGTTTTTGTTGTTTTTTAAAAGGTTGTAGGAGGACAATCATCATCTCGATCAGGTAAAGGAAGAAGTGATGAAGGTGTGATCAAGTATGGTTTCAGTCTAGTGAAAGGAAAAGCTAACCATCCCATGGAGGATTACCATGTCGCTAACTTCATCAACGTACAAGACCATGAACTTGGTCTTTTCGCTATCTACGATGGTCACATGGGTCATACTGTCCCTGCCTACTTGCAGAAACACCTCTTCTCCAATATCCTCAAGGAGGTTTAAAAAACAAAAAAAGATTAACCTTTAGTTAATTTAGTTACGGTTAATTTAATGTAATGTTTTTGTTTTGTTTTGAAGGGAGAGTTTTGGGTGGATCCTAGGAGGTCTATATTAAAAGCATACGAGAAGACAGACCAAGCCATTCTATCAAATAGTTCTGACTTGGGTCGTGGAGGGTCTACGGCTGTTACAGCTATATTGATAAATGGGAGGAGGTTGTGGATAGCTAATGTTGGTGATTCGCGAGCGCTTCTTTCTCAAGGAGGTAGGACAATGCAGATGAGTACTGATCATGAGCCTCGTGCTGAAAGGTCGAGTATTGAGGATAGAGGTGGTTTTGTATCAAATCTACCAGGTACAAGATAACGGTATTATTATAGCTGTTTTGAACCCATTCTTGATTATGTATGTAAATGAGTTTTGTGATTTGATAATAATAGGTGATGTTCCTCGAGTGAATGGTCAATTGGCGGTGTCTCGTGCCTTTGGAGATAAGGGACTAAAGACACATCTGAGTTCTGAGCCTGATATTAGAGATGCTACTGTTGATAGCCAGACAGATGTTCTTGTCCTGGCAAGTGATGGCATTTGGAAGGTAATATTACACTAATTATTTCTTCTTTTATTTTACTTGTGTGTATTATTATTATTAATCTGTTTTGTGGGAATGAAGGTGATGTCAAATGAAGAGGCAATGGAGATAGCTAGAAGGGTGAAAGATCCACAGAAGGCGGCTAAGGAACTAACAGCTGAAGCATTGAGAAGGGAGAGTAAAGACGACATATCTTGTGTCGTGGTCCGATTCAGATGACAATCTCTCTCAATGGATTCTTTTTTTTTTGCATTTTCAATTTAGAATCACCAGGGAGAAAAGCTGGCTTCACTTGGATTCGAATCTGATGATATATACTGGTTCGGTTCTGACAGCTTCTTGCTATAGCTTTTTATATGGGATGGATTATTGTGTAAATTGTGTGCGTTTTATATGGGATATGATTATTGGTTGATTTGTTATTTTGACTCATCGGAGTAGATTTGCATATGTTAAAACAGATATTTGCTGGTTATAAGTGATTTTTACCATTTGTCTACTTGAGATTTTTAATTTTGTCATATAAAATATGCGAAAACCCAAAATGCGTCGTCTCTCAATTCAACAACAAACAAGTAAACTAAAAGTGAACGTCAAAGATCTGAAAACATCATTAAGAAAACATACAAAATAAAAATCACACCACATTATCCGATTCTTGCTGTCTTCAATTCTGCAATGATTCAGTACTTCCATTAGTCATGTCTGTCTAATTGTCAACCCAAAAGGAACAGTACTTTTTCAAATTTAGCAATGAAACTTGCAGCACAAATAACTTCTCATACCTCTTCCTGAGGCTCATCAGCTTTGGCTCGCTCCTCCTCTACGAGAAACAATAAAAATTAGAAATAAGGAGAGAGTGATTTCAAAGATTTTGAGTATGCCAATGGTTTTCTCCTACAAATTACTTATAACACTATAATCCAACAAACTATTATCAGAGAGGGAAATAAAGACTTAAGAACAAAGATTACCTCCTTCCTCTGGGAGGTCAGAAGTCCACAAGGTGAGATTGTCTCTAAGTAGCTGCATAATAAGAGTGCTGTCCTTGTATGATTCCTCGTTTAGGCTGTCAAGTTCTGCGATTGCATCGTCGAATGCTTGCTTAGCCAATTGGCATGCGCTGAATATTCAGACTGTTGTTAGAAAGTGAAACCACCGACCGATTCACATTGAATCATCTTTCCAAAACTAACTGTACATAAAATATCAAACCTTTCAGGAGAGTTTAAGATCTCATAGTAGAAAACAGAAAAGTTCAATGCTAAGCCAAGTCTAACTGGATGGGTTGGTGCTAGCCCAGTCTCTGCGGCAGCCACAGCAGCCTACATATTGCCATTACCAAACATATTGTTCAGCTTCACATTCAAGAGGGAAGGCACAGACAAATAAATAAATAAATAATTACAAGACACAACATGATCCAAGTACCTTGTATGCCTCAAGAGACTGATCTGCAGCTTCCTTGCGTTCAGCACCAGAACTGAACTCTGCCAGATAGCGGTAATAATCTCCTTTCCTACATATAAACAATGCAATGTTCATGAATCTCAGACACATAACAAATTCATTTTTAGGACAAAAGATAAGAAACATGTATAACTTGGGTCAACAAGATATAAAAGAAGATAAACATAAGAAAGGATGACTCACATTTTGTAGAAAAACACAGTGGATTCGACAGCAGTAGACGATGGTATGAGATGTTTATCGATGACAGACAAGATGTCATTACAAACTTTAGCAAGCTCATCTTCAACCCTCTTACGATAGCTCTGAATCCTCTTGACATTCTCCTCGTTCCCCTTGGACTCTTCCTTCTGCTCGATGGAAGATAGGATTCTCCACGAAGCTCTCCTTGCGCCAATCACGTTCTTGTACCCTACAGATACTAGATTCCTCTCCTCTACCGTGAGCTCCACATCAAGCTCAGCTACTTTCTTCATTGCCTCAACCATCTCTGCAAACACCAATTTCAAGAAACATAAATTTATTTCATACTATCCACCACCAGATTTATTGGACTTGGAACAATTACCGATTTGGGGTTATATAATACAAACATTTTTTTCTAAAATCATTTTATGAGCCTAATAAATAATCCTATATAAAACGCTTAATTACATTTTTTGAACATTGACATTTCTAATTAATTTGGGATTCAAATGATCTATACATATCTTTTTGGTGTTCGCCTAGTCTGTAAATCAGAGACTTAAACAAAACAATTTTTTAAAATGATTTGTTTTCTCATTTTATGAGCTTAAAAATTAGTGATAAATAATCCCATATAAAACGCGCTTAGCAATTTTTTGAACATTGACATTTCTAATTAACCTGGGATTCAAATGATCTAATACATATTAACCATTTAAGTTTCTTCTCGTTATGCTAAGGATCGGTTCTGATTAGCACAGACACATACTCTAAGAGATCACTCAAGAGCTCGTCTTCTAAATCTAGACCAAGTAACATCCTAGAGAAGACTAATCCGTAAAAGAGTGTTCAAACCAAATCTAGACGAACCAAAACATTCATAGAATCAACAAAGGATCTGAGTTTCAGACACATTTGGTCAAATCATTTTTTTGGTCGGAAGAGTAAGAGATCTATAAATTGAAAACGGTTCTAATTACCATCGTAACGTTCGGTTTGCTCAGAGAGCTTGGCCAGGTACACGTGTTTCTCCCTCTCACTCTCCATGGATGCTGCTTTTCTCTGGAACAATGGATGCTCGATTTGATTTTGGGATTAGTGGTATAACCCTAGGATGCTTTGTTTGATACTTGCTAATATACATACGGGCCGTTGGATCTCGTCAACTAACTCGGAAACTAAAGTTTTTGAAATTATAAAGAAGCCTCAAGGGTTTTGTTTTTATTCATAAGTAACCTAAATTAAAGATATTGGTCAATTAAAACCTATTAAATTGGAAGAATGGTGAGTAGTGAAAAGAACAATGCAAAAACGGCAACGTGCGTGCGTGACAAACGGAGAGAGACACGTCCTCTTGTCGACCATTAGGGTTTGTTCTTTTCAATGATATAGTACGAAACAAAATACATTGTTTTGAAGAAAATTTGTACTATTTTTTTTTTGGTAAGTAGTGTGCAGTACACAGATGAAAAAACTATACGTTAGTCTGATTTGTTGGTTTCAACTTGAAGCAAAAGTTGGTTTCTGTCGACTGTTTTGCACACCGTACCTTCTAGATTTTTTGTATCCTGATGAGTGTGTCAGCTAAAACATCGTTTTTGGGTTGGGTCATATGTAATGAGTTCTCAAATGATGTCGACTTGCATCTGATTCGCTGTTTCTGTGTTTGATTTCTTTGTTTCCACGCATTCCGTTGATAAATTAACTAATATTGAATTTGGGCCAATCATGGGCCAAAACGAAAAAGATTTGGGGCGAGAGAGGCTCGAACTCTCGACCTCCGGATCACTCTGTAGCTATGAGACCGACGCGCTAGCCAACTGCGCCACCGCCCCGTTGTTGTTAACTTAAGAATAAAAGCTGTACTTCACTTGTTTTCTGAATTTTTAGCATTTTTTCATTTTTTTTGGTATTCTCACACATATGACGATACCTCGATATAATTGATGTCGCATTAGTCATAACTGAACCTTTCTTTCTAGTCTACGTCACTCATGATCTATTTTCTTCAACATATTCCCTAATGGTGACCGCCCGCCACTAAAGTATTTTGTAGTAAAGTATTTTTCTTTTTTGGGTCAAATAAGGCATTCATGCAGGCTAAATAAGGCATTCATGCAGGCCCGTCGTATACTGCGTGGGGGCCCCTATACAGAATCTATTTTTACAGCAAGAATTGAACAAATTTTGTAAAAAAGGAGTCCTAAATTTGTTTTAAAAAAGGCTCTAAAACACTAAGATGATTGTTTGCACTAGTTTTTAGTTTTAGTTTTTAGTTTTTAGATTTTGGTTTTAGATTTTTGTTTTTTGTTTTTTTTTTTGGTTTTTGATTTTGGCTTTTTAATTTTGGTTTCCAGCTTTTGGTTTTAGTTTTTAGATTTTGATTTCGGTTTTTGGCTTTGCTGTAGTTTTTAAATTTCTTAAAAATAAGTAATACATTATTTTTAAAATAATACAACAAAAATAGAAATAAAACATTTAAAAGCTACTATTAAAATATAATGATTATTATTTAATAATACAAAATACATTAACATGTTTTAATTATTATATATTTTAAGAAACTTATATTACACTAAATTATAAATCATAAAATAACTATAAACTATACAATATTTAAAATTTCAAAATATGAAAGTTATTTATAAAAAAAATTTGTATGTAATTTAAATTATAAAATTTGAATGGAATTTTATTTTTCAAATTAATATAATATATTTTATTAATGAAATTTTCTGTTTTTATAATTTAAGATTGTTTTATAAGTCTAATTATTATTAAATTATTAAATAATTTTATGTATAGAAATGAATAACCAATTTCAATAATTTAATATTATATATAAGTGTATAAATTTATTTTGACATGCAACATAAATAAATGATTAAACATTATTGCTTAATTGTTATCTTTTGTACCAAAATTTTATTAGACTTTTATCTTTATAAAGTATTATTATATAATTATTAGTTAGTTAAAATGTACCACTTTCTAATGAAAATAAAAAAAAATTCGTTTTTATTCCTAAAAACCAACAAAAATGAGTTTTTGGTTTCTCTTCATAAATTGATTAAAATTTTCAAAAACCAGTTTCCCTAAAATTTAGGGAATCTATTTACTAAAAAACTTGATTGGCAAAAAATTGGTTTATACAAAAACTAAAAAACAAAAACCAAAATCTTGATTGGATAAAAACTAGTTTTTGAAAAAACAAAAACCAAAAACTAATTCAAAAACTACAAACAATCATCACCTAAATAGAATTTTGAAATTTTTTTATTGCCCCAGTACAGATGCACCTTGGGAACATACCCAAAAGACGGGACTGTGTTAACAATAAACCAGAAAAGTATATGCGTATACACATGGTTATTTTCTATCAATAAACATACATTATACTACTCTTAACATTATACATTATGGTATTATGGTACATATACCAACATGGCAACACATCAACGATTCTAACATAAACCATTCTCACTACAAAAAAACTAAGTCTTTAATAGGAAATTTTATTAAAAAAAATCTTCCTCGTAAAATTACTAAGGCCTTACTTCGAGTTTACGAGGAAAGCAAATTTCCTCGTAAGATCCTCGAAAAATTACGAGAAAACGTTTTCCTCGTAAGACCTTAGTAATTTTATGAGGAGCTTACGAGGAAAAAATACTTTTCCTCGTAAAGCCGTAGTAAAGACTTTCCTCGTAAACGCATAGTAAAAGTTTACTACGAAATTAGAAGGAAACGGTTTATTACTACGAAATTAGGAGGAACTGGATAGGAAATATCGAATTTAAATAAAAAACGTGTTTTGTACCTACTTTTCCTAGCAATTTCCTAGTAAATGCTCAAATTCGAAAATTTCTATAAATACCACCTTATGTGATTCATTTGAAACACACCAAAAAAAAATCAGCTATAAGCTTGATCAAACACAAAAAAATGTCTGGTCCGGGAAATATTTTCGAGTTGCGGCAGTGGATGTATTCACACAGAGATAATAACGGGAGGGTGACAAACGAATTTCTAGAAGGGTTGGAGACGTTTATACATCAAGCAGATTCTACACCACTCACGCACGAAAGTGGTAAGATGTTCTGTCCTTGTCGGAAACGCTGCAATAGTAAATTAGGCCCTCGTGAAAATGTTTGGAAGCATTTAATAAATAGAGGTTTCATGCCATATTATTATATTTGATATCAACATGGAGAAGATGCTAGTTGTAGGAATGAAGGTAGCAGTAGTAATCAGGTTGAACCGGTTGATCATTTGCGTAATGAAGGTAGCAGTAGTTATAGCTATGATCATCACCAAGAGGAACAAATGGTAGATTGTGATAGGGTTCATGATATGGTAGGTGATGCATTTGTAACTCATGATGATGATGAAGTTGAAG